ACTAATACTTTTGTCAAACTCATCCTGAAATGAGATACTTTCGTTCTGCATTCACTTTCAAAATCAAACTAGGAAAAAAAAATCTAAAGTTTGAATAGAATTAGAAAATGCGCACATCTTTTAAAAGGCAGCCAATTTACAAGTTATCATATTGACTATCATGCATTTTTGTATGTTTCATAATTTTTTTTTAAACACAAGGGTTCCTTAATAAAAGATGATATTGCACATATTTTATGTAAAGAAAGGGGTATATTTTTGAAAACATTGTATACATCGTTCATGGTTTATTCAGGAATAGTGCCAGAAAAGAACAGGTTTAATCATCACTTGTGCCTCAAAGTTTTCAGCTAAAACAAATGTCTTTTGTTGTAAATTAACTTAATTTCTACTTTCTCGGAAAAAGATTTAGATTAAATTACTGTACTTAATAACTCCATCTTTTCGTTACCTTTTTCTTAAAACCCCAGGAAGAATGTTGCATCATGAGAACTTAGAAAATAACAACAAAAAGCGGCGCACAATTGGTGTACATCGGAATGACAATCGCTGTCAGAAAATTTGTCTTCCGAATTAACGAAGACGTGATGACCCATCAAAAACTCTAAAAAGCATTATGAAAAATGTTCCTATGAGTAACTGTGGATTCTGACAGAGTGAGATTCTCTTGTCTTCTAAAAAAAATTCCACTCTCTTCTTTTCGAAAAAAAACCAAATGAAATTGGTTGTCAAAATGTTTATACGACGTTTCGATTCACTACGAATTATATGGATGTGAATGTAAGAAAACCAAACGTATGAACACATCTACAGAATTAATAGTCGTTGAAATATTTCATTTTTTTTTTAAAGATTCCAAACCCGAATAACACTACTGCACTTGGCAAGACCTATATATATATATATATTTATATCCGTATTTGTTAGCAGATACGTACATGTTTGGTTTTAAATTAAAAAAAATCGGCGGTAATCATTTGGGAAATTGTCAAGAGAAAACAAGACACACTTTCTACTTTCTACTTGGGTATAGGAATTATATGATATATGCGGAATTTCGAAATATAGTGTCAAAGCAAAAATATTTTATCAAGCAGTCAATTTAAATGGACTATAAATATTAATACAATATTGACTGTGATACATTTTAGGGTGTTTAATGAGACATTAAGATAAACACCAGTGTTAAACGAAAGGTAATATGACACATAAAGAACGTAATAAAAGGTGATAAATGTTTGAAAACTTTTAACCGGATAAAGTTACATAATGTTATTATCTAATTCTGTGGTTTATACATGTATGACATTTAATTCAATGTCAAGATGTGATTAATAAACTTACATTTTCGTCATCATAAAATAAACCAAATGTGCTGTAAGTTAGCATTTTTTTTTGTGGGAAGACTACTTTAAATCAGCAAACATTCTGAATTGTATGCGGATTTTATCTAGTTGTGACATTCAGAGAGAGAGAGAGAGAGAGAGAGAGAGAGAGAGAGAGAGAGAGAGGTTAAACAAAAACTTTTTACATGTAGTTTGAGTTGAAAGTACAGCTTACAAGTTGCATGTGTATAGAAGAATAAAGATAAATTGTCCGTTCTGAACAAGTTCTTTCTCAAGGTCATATCCTCCCAGAAAAACGTAAAGAGTTATACGATTACTAATAACAGCGAAAGAACAGTTAAAGCTTAAATCAAAGGAATTAAGGGAAACAAAACAACGTAAAGACAGCAAATACAGAACATAGGATAGGCGTACAGCTATGAATAAACTCATCATAGATACCAGGATAGGCGTACAACTAGGAATAAACTCATCATAGATACCAGGATTGAAAATTTGTATTTGCGCCAGACGCGCGTTTCGTCTACAAAAGACTCATCAGTGACGCTCGAATCAAAAAAAGTTAAAAAGGCCAAATAAAGTACGAAGTTGAAGAGCATTGAGGACCAAAAATTCCTAAAAGTTTTGCCAAATACAGCTAAGGTAATCTATTCCTGAGGTATAAAAGCCATAGTATTTCAAAAATGTAAAGTTTTGTAAACAGTTAATCTATAATTATGACCATATCAATGATAATTTATGAAAACACAGAAGTGCTGACTACTGGGCTGGTGATACCCTCGGGGAATAAAAACTCCACCAGCAGTGGCATCGACCCAGTGGTTGTAAATAAACTCATCATAGATACCAGGATTGAAATTTTGTATTTGCTCCAGACGCGCGTTTCGTCTACAAAAGACTCATCATTGACGCTCGAATTTAAAAAAAGTTAAAAAGGCCAAATATTTCAAAAATGTAAAGTTTTGTAAACAGTTAATTATAATTATGACCATATCGATGATAATTCATGTCAACACAGATAAAAAGAGTTTTCTCACAAACCAAAATATTATAACATATATTATTATGTATGGCTATCAAAGTTTATAAATTAAGCAATTCTGTTATTGACAAGATCACAAGCATACGTAAAATGAATTTAATTAAGTACAATTTTTGTTTTAAACAAGAGTCTTGGATACTAAAATTTACAATATTGTTAGTTCAGAATCTCGATGATTTGTCTCAAGCTTTGCAGAAGGAATTGCTTTCATTACCACCACAACAAATCAACATTTTATCAATGTAATGAGAATACGGTTCGCATCGATGATTCGTGTTAACGGTGGTTTCACTCTGTATTTAACATTGTTGTGTTTATTGTAACCATGTAAACGTATTCTAGCTCTCAAAACAAAAGGAATTGTGCTTCTTGTAAGCATCCACAGTTAAACATTGTCCCTTTTTAAGTAATCAAGACATCCTCTCGTTTGTCAAAAATAAGGTTAATTAAATTCATCATTATCGAAGTATTTACGCCTGTGGTCTTGTCAATAAACAAATTTGGCCTTTTCTATATACTTTCTGTATGTTACAGAAGAAGGCGTTCGAATCCCGCGGAGGGAAGAACAAAAAATCGCTAACGAAAATTTGCACTTGGAAGTTAATTTTGAATTAAAATATTGTAAAAAAAGAAGAATAAAATAGCTGCTAGTACACTCTCAATTTTGAAACAATGATTGATTAATTGATGTTTCCTTAACGCCCAGTGGCAAATATTTCATTTATGTTCAGGACCAAAACAAATTAACAATAAATACAATACGTTGGTTCTGTAATAGAGGCCGTCCGGGATGAAGGTCGGTGAAAATTGGACGGCTACTGGAAAATGAGTGGGACACCTAAGGACCCTTCAAGTTGTTGCAAGTGTTCTTTACGTGCAGAAAACGTGGCATTTTCTCTACACGAGGCATCGGATGTAACTCTCAATTCTGACCGGACGTGGCTGCATACATAAACATCCCGCAATGCCAAACGGACGCTCTTACTTTGGTAAGGGTTTAAGTGTCGGTGGGGAGAAGACCAAAGTGACCACATTTCTATTCCTCAGTCAACCTTGGGGAAAAACAATTTTGATTAAATGTTCATGGGCATGATGAACTTGATAAATAATGACTATTGGGAAATTGAAAATTCAAAAACTATATCTGCATTCAAATATTCTATATATTGTAACGGAGTTTTATTGTATTCTTTTACCACTGTGTATGCCATTGTTTTTGTCATATATTCTAGCAGGCATATTTGTTAAGCATTGCGTATTCGATAACAATCTAATTAAAATATAGAACTCTGATTTCTGTATATCCTTCTAATGCGAGCATGCGAGTTGCAATAAGTAGATCTGAAATCTAATCAGATTGTTTTTGGTTAATTTGTATTGTTTTATTCATGTACTTATTATAATATTGTATCAAGAGAGCCTTATTGAAATTTAGTGCTTTAGATTATCTTCAGAAAAAGATATTATTATTTTTATTATTATTATTATTATTATTATAATTATTATTATTATTATTATTATCGATAAAATGATGAAGGCGTTTCCTAAAATATATGTCGTACACATTGACATTTGTACTAGACATTTATAAACTAGCTGACAAGGAGTCGGTGCCAATTTGGTGGCTTACAGTTCCCGAGGACTCCCGTCTGTCCAGTACCAAGTGTTTCGGTGATGGCATTATCAAAATGATATTTTTATTGTAATTCATTAGTTTATGAATAATGCAATTGTACTAAGTCTAAGGATGGGATTAATTCTGGCAAAGTTAATCTTTGGCGATTTTGCTTTGATGCTTCCAAACGTTTAACATGTCTCTGGGTTTCAAGCGTACCTGATGCTTATACCAACCACACGTGTACTGCCAGCTGAAGTATGATACGTTTATATTTATAGGTATATAGGCTTTGTTCTTCTGAAATGTTGCACATTTTGTCATGTCGGGCGTTTTATAGAATATATGGTAAGGGTTCCCTAATTAATGAAGGCCATACAGAGACCTTATAGTTGCTTCTATCCACGTCATTTGGACTATAGTGGATAGTTGTCTTATTGGCAATCTTTCCATATCAGCTTATTTACATATTAGTATATGAATTGTCATCTGGGTTGAACTATAAACATTCTTTGTTACCGTTACATATATAATACACCCTCAAGGAACATTACACGCTAAGGACCATAACTGCATACCTTTCTTGTTTTCAGTGTTGTAGTCATTTGTTAAATCGAATTGAATTAACTCTTAAAATTTTACGCAAGTAATAGAAATGACAACATTCAATAGCAATGTTTTTGGTCTTCTGAGGGATATATAGTAAAAGGGAGACAACTGCGAATTGACTGATTGACATTTGGTTGTTAAAATTTCTAAAATAATTTTTAAGGTGTTGTCGGTTTTATAAATTATGTGTAAATATCGAATTGCATAAATGCATCTTTATTTTATTCAACGGTTTAGTTTTCATTGTATATGACAAGCATAATACACAAAAACCACAGGCACTTGTCCCAGAAAACAATTACCTATATTACATGTATACCTTACTATACCTATCATGTGTTATATTAAGATATATGGGTTTTTTTCAGAGGCACGTGCATGTGATATGTTTTTCAGAGACAAGTGCCTGTGATATAAAAACCAGTAATATTTTTACCAGAAGCTCCAGAATATCTGTTTAAGACAAATAATTAGAAATAGAACACAGTTCTTCATAATATGCACTCAGTAGAGGTATATAATGGTAACACCGAATAATGGCTATTTTCTTATAGATATGGGATGGAACTTTGACTGTTGTCCGATTCTGTATGTTCGGTTTATCAGAGTTTTATAATGTTTTACGTAGATTTATTACTCTTCAGATGTTCATTAACTTTTGCCGCCTATACATTTTTCGCCTTCTGTCAAAACGAAGTCATAAAGTAAACGGAAGTTTTCTTCTGTAGTTTCTGTAAAACGATCTCCCAAAATCTCTGATAATAATCCCATAAAGGTCGGATCCATATCCTGAAAAAGAACGAAAGCAGAATGAACGAATATTGCTGAAGTGATTCTTATTTAAATCATTACATAGAACATAGCTTGGTTTGGAGGGACACGAAAACGTGTAAGACAAGAAGCATTTTGGCATGCAATACCATTTTTTCAACAACAAAATCACTCTTCTGCTCAGTACTGTTAGCTAATTTTGTTTTATAGATAATATTTCCCTGCCAATGTTCTACCATCCTGCCTTTTTAGAAACAAATTAGCTCTCAAACTTTACTCAGTCGTTTTGTTAATTGATTTTTCTAAATTGAAGTGATGTACAAAGTTATCTTAGGTATTGCACAAAATCATGTCGTCGAGCACTTCTAAAGAGCATCGCACAAGTTGGCACTCCGAGGCGGGTGGAGAGCAGGAAGGTGAACTGTGGTTTATTTTAGCAATAGTACAGCTTAAGTCGACGCTAGGGGCCGTCTTGACCTTGTTGTAGGGTATGAATGATTCGTTCATTGTTGAAGACCCTATATCAACTGTCAAGATTAAGAACAAGAATAAAAGCCCTGTTCATTGATAATTTTCTATGTTTTCTATGTAATGTGTGCGATTTTGTCCCATGTACATTTACTCCATATCCTTTCATTTTCTAATATAATGTGAAGTACAACACTGATGATACTTGAGCTCGTACGTAATGATAAAATTAAGAATGGAAATGGGGAATATGTCAAAGAGACAACAACCCGACCAAAGAGCACACAACAGCCGAAGGCCACCAATGGGTCTTCAACGCAGCGAGAAAATCCCGATGTTTATATAAGCAGATTAAGTAGTTTGAGCTTGCTTTCTGTTGATGCCATCATTCTTTTATATAGTATTATTCATTACTGTTTTACTTGAACTTGTTTGTCTATCGGTATTATAGAGAAACGAGATTTTTCTCATATGATTTTTTTTTGTGGGTTCACTCTTTATGTTTGTTTTGTTATTTAATTTATTGAGATAAAAAGGGGGGGGGGTTGAGTACTCAAAAGTTAGTCGGAATAGCTGGTGGTTCCTTTAGAGTCTCTATTAGATTTATTCTTAATTTGTCTAGCATCCGGTGATTTACAGCATTAAAAAAGCGAAAAGCGACTGGTTTGTAAATCACTGAATCAGTTTGGCCGTACGAAAAGAACTAGAGTTACTATCCTACCCACTGCAAAATATACAAAAACAAATAATTTTCTTAAGAAACCATGCACCAATTAAAATTTTAAGACTCTCAAGGAATGCTTTTGATTGGTACCAATTAAACAACCAATACGTTCGGAAGTAAGATATGATTTTATACCGGACCATATGTGGAAAAGTACATCAAAACTATAAAAAAAAACTATGCATGTTTAGTAGAATCGCGGATAAGATGAACACTACACGCTCACGTGAGCGCCAAATTTTGCTCTTCGTGATTTGAAAGTGTCAATTTTTACTTAAAATGCAAGGTCACTTTTTATTAATTTACTAAGCTGAAGTAAGGAAAACGTGATATTATTAAAGTTAAGCACTGTTTTCATGCAAATAGAGGAAGATTTTATTTTATTCAAGTGATGTCTTGATTAAATCTGATACTATAAACTTGCATTACGATTAAACATGTATTTGGTTTTGCGGAATACATGGCTTATCATAATAAATTTCAATCCTAAACGGTCGTATTATTTATGTTAAAGTGATCTAGATCGGTCTACTATAGTTGTCATACCACCAATTCACCCACTCGAATTTAGAACGTATGTAAAAGTAGCCTTTCCCTGATAAAAAAATAGTGCTTTTGATGTCATTGTTTACTTAAACTAACCAACAAATTTGCAGAAATGAAACTTGGTGAAAGAGAAATTTATTTAGACCATTTTGAGCAAAAATTTACTTGTCCATGAGTTTGCATTAAAAATGGATGATAAATGCTCTCCATACTATTCTTATTTAAGATTTCCAGAAAACTAGGGATTATTTGTAATAGTACTTACCTTCGGAACGTTGGTATTTTACTACAAGACTTTAAACATTGCTTGCAAATTGGCATGTAGAAAGGTGATACATGTACAATTCAGGATATACCTGGTTTCTATGAAGTTAAATTTAGGGTAAAATATTTAGAAAGCTGTGAAAATTGAAAAATTTGGTTGAATAAATAGGGATTATGAATTGGTGATCTGACACCTATATAAACTCATCATAAATACCAGGAATAAAAGTTGTACACCAGACGCGCGTTTCGTGTACAAAAGACCCATTAGTAACCTTCGAATAAAAAAGTTAAGAAGGCCAAATTAAAGTACGAAGTACTATATTTAACATTACTTGATCCGATGTCATTTTGTTTGGGCCCTTTCTGATTTCAAGCTACAGAGGTTCATTGTATGTTTCTTTTAGTTCACTTTCTCTACCCATATACACACGAGCTATTCAGAATATCTGTGTGAACTATATCTCATAGTATCAAAATAGAGATATTATTTCACAGAGGTGGTTCAAAGCTGAATATGATGTTGGTGCAATATCTCCTATTTTAACTCTCCTTACCTTCAGTAGTTCGGATATTTTCTCATTTGTCGAGAAAACATGACTGATTTCTACCAATGCTTTGTCAACTTCCTCTAAATTATTTACAACATCGTCAAATAGTCCAAATATTTCCATTGCATCGTTTTCAAATTCGAAACTGTCCTTAATGTCTTCTTCACTTTTATTAGTATCGTAAGATGGAAAATATTCTGCATATTGTTGATGTTTCTTTAAAAATCTAGAAAATAAGAAATATGCTACGTTCAAACTATTTTATTGACATAACATCTTGGTTACTCGTCCACTTGTTCGATAGTGTAGTGGATTTTGGACCAGTTAACTAAGTTATTGTGTTCAAAGGAAAGCAATTTAATGTTGTAACTGCAAGTTTTCACCTCATTCTTTACTTTTTCACCCGTAGTTGAGCTCCAAGGATTTGTTTTCACCTGTATTTCTGCCTTAAAATCATAATATTTAAATTGCTAACTAAATCCCAAACATTTAATTAAAAGTAAACTCTATTAATAAGATCAGCTTATATATATATATATATATATGCATTCAAGCATAATGATTGAAAAGGTTTATCTAATGTATGTATATATTTTATTCAAACATTAAGTTTTCTATCAAATCAAATTCTTAAGAACATGATTTGATTAACTTTTGATCCATCTATAAAAAATTGTTTCGACTAGTTTTCAAAACAAAAATCGACGAATAAAATCACAAATAGAAATCCAAATTAAGGGCAATACATGAATGGCAGACACACACATGACGGGTAACATGTTATGCATAACTTGCAATAGGAATATGATTTTTTTTCTGCTTACACAGTAGTAAAATACACTATACAAAGTCACATCATCAGTTTGAATATATGGAAATTATTTCGAATAGCTAGTGGTTGCGAATTAAGATTGCTTGTTTCCACTAAGTTACATACCGTATCATGTAATGCTAGTCACTTCCAATATAATTTGATGAATACAAGTCATTGTTCTAGATTGTATATCATTCGTGTAAGGCGTAACTGCACAAAGCCTACTTATATTTGTTGTTGGTTCAAGATTCGTTCATAAAAATACAATTTTATTGTCCAATAAAACAATAAAAGATCTTTGTGAAGCAAAATATCAAATTGTCAAGTGATCAATCATAATGCAATAATTTTTTTTAAATATTTTTTTCAAAATAATAACCGAAATATTAGACCTGCCTCTCCCTCACCTATAATAATATGGTAATTTATATCACGATAGTTACATGCATTTGGTATTTTTACTCATTTATAAAGTATAGTAAACGTACAAGTCGATCTTAAAGTACTAGCATGCCATTTGCAGTTATATTCAAGACAGTTAATAAAGTACATCCTATCCTCAGTTCTAATGAGTTTAACTGTAGTAGCAACGTTACCTCATAAGGTTTTCTTTCGCAGTTTCCTCCATAGAACGGGTCACCGCTTTCCATGCATTTCTCAGACTGAATATCTGCCTGTATGTCTGGAATGGCAACCTCGGATCAACAGTTTTCTTAGCTGAACTTGATTCTGGTAAATGAATCTTCGTGTTCGCCTTTTTGTTAGATTTAGATTTAGATCCTTTGAATTTCGATTTTAATGCACCCATATTGTAGTTTTAAACACAAACATAAACAAATAAACACATGAATAAATAAATAAACAAATCAAAACATTTCAAAATAAATATCACAATATTCGGGTATACATATCCGATCTTATAAATAGAGATATGATATAGATATGTAATTAAATGTCAGGTACTATGTACAAGTCTACACTCGATCTAATCCCGTGCCAAGTTTTTTTCTATATGGATTAAGATTTGCATTCATCTGACGTACTTCTGCAAACAAAACCCCTTGTATGTACTCTAGTTTGAATGAACTACTTCAATATTTAGATTATTTCAGTTGGACAAACATATATAATATTGGTAGGTGATAAAATTCGGCAGTGTTTTTATTCACCTCAAATTCAATCATTTTTTCAAAGTTCGATATTAAGTTTGTGCTTCGTATTTCTTTACAATATCGAAAAGTAGTTATATAGTGGATTAAGTTTTTGAGCAAACATTCCAGTATATTACATATAATATGATATAAAAGAAAAAGGATTTCTCTATATGCTAATTTTTCTTAAAGTCACAATGATTTACTGTTACTTATCGGATTGTACGAGGAATATACTATCTAAGATCTAAGAAAAGGTGAAGCTTTGCAAAATTTAAATACTTGATTTGAAATCCATAATTATAATTATAATCAAATTTTACTGAACAGATTTATTTTTTTCAAGTAGTGAATCCTTGTTTACCATATTATAAAAAAATGACTTTAATGACGTAGTCGTTTATGATATTTTTCGGTACGGCAAAAATAACAAATTAATACTTCCGACTGAAGCATGGTTAGATAGACTTTCGGGTTGCTTACAGTAACTGTTAAGAAATTATAGAATACACGAATTCGTTTCAGTCCAGTGCTTTCTTTTCGAATAACACAGCCTATATCAAAACAAGGAGATGTGGTATGTTTGCCAATGAGTCAACTATCCACTGAAGTTCAAATGAAGTGGATGCAATCAATTATAAGTAACCTTACGGCTTTCAACAAAAAGAAAAAAAAAGAAAAACCCATATCGTATAGTTGGCTTTAAAAGGCTCCGAAATGAGAAATATTAAACGATTCAATTTAGAATACTAAATGGCTAATTTATAACAAAACAATTTACGAAAAACAAATATGACAGACATGAAACAATGACAATGTGGTTATTTTCAAAATCAACTGCATGTGTATGTAGCTTTTGTCAAATGTGCTATAAAAAAAATTATTTTTTTCTTTTGCAGAAATTATAGTAATTTACTATCCTGGAAAATTGTTCCGTCATATCGAATCAGCTGTGTTAGAGCGCATTTTGATTACCAAGAGCGCACCGAAATGCCAAAATGCGTATAAATATACAAGGAGCTACAAAACTAAAAACGAACCCATTTAAAGTACCTAAAACAAGAGAAGGACTTAGGTCAGGTTCATATAAGAGTTGGGACTTAAATGAACTTAAACATAAAAAAAACGTCAAAGCACAAAATGAAACGTCGTGACGACGACCACAGCTGCAAAATCGTAGTGTATCATTGTAAATTTTGCATACATTTTTGATACTCAAATGATCAAAAAAGCAAAAACGAAACCGGAAACCCCTTAATATTTCCCCATCTTTAAACAATGATCACAGCAATTAATATACCATTTTGAAATACTAAGTAATGTTTTGTGGACAGAACTTAATCACAACTTATAGAGAAAACACTTTTACCTACCGCTTTAAACGTACATTCTATATATATTTAGGTCTATTTGATAAACTGTTAAGTGATTGTACCTATGGGAGTATAAACTGTACATAGTATTCTTTTTCATTGTCAGATGTGGTTCAATGAGTTCTAATTTCTTCAAATATCCCAAATACCGGCTAATTTCGTATACTTTGCCTTAGAGTTTGAAATTTACCACAACAAAATTTCAAAAACCTAATTTCCTGTAATCTGTATCTATACATGTAAGTGGAAACCAACACATGGTAATGTTAGTCAGCGCTACGTTTAATTCGATAAGACATCACAAACGTTATCTGTGCCAGACAGTCCAGACAAAATGAAAATTCTTTATTTGGCATCGTTTGCTGTTTTGCAATTTCATTTCTGTTCGAGTCTGTCTGTAGAAATTTTAAAACCAAACAGCACAGGACCAGAAGCTGCCTTAGTTATCGTCCCTGGAGCATATATTACAGGTGCAGCATACAAACCTTTAGGTAAGGCTACTGATAAGTAAAATTTAGGGGCCATTACATTGTATTTGAAAGAAAGAAAAAAAACCCTGCATTTTAGACTGCAACGAGTTGTCATAGAACAAACAAATAGATTTTAAATCCACAAAAACAGTTTTGATCTTGGAAATGTATTTCTGACATTGAACTAGATTAAGGTCATGTGACTTGATCAAGGAAACGGTACTACAGAATTCTTTCAGACTAGGTAACACATAACAGTAACTTATTGATTTAAAATCTTTGAGAACTTAATTATTATTATCACAACAGAAAACTCTTTTTATTTAAAATGTAAGTGAAATAAGTCTTTTATCAATGTAAATTTGGAAAATGCTAAAAGGTAAAGAAACCAAACAATGAAGCCATCGGGATCCTTTGACAATAAGTTCTTCAATTACAATGAAAATTATTTAAAGGACACTGCTAGACTAGCGGAAAAAAGAAACTGTGCATTCTAAAGAATTTTCCAAAATCTATGAGCTTAATTTCTTGAGTTACAATGTGTTACAATCTTGTTAAAATAATGCTTTTGTAGATAACAGGTGATATTCATCTCGGCACGACTGATTTTGCATGATTCTAGAGCTCAATTTTTTAACTTCCATGCGCTCAAAATTGCTTTATGTCAGTATTATGTGGAAAAAGGTTTACACATTTCTTTAATCTAAATAACGAGGAAAACGTTTTTGTTTTAATATTACGATGACAACTTTTTTGTATTATTGATGATAGCTTTAAGCGCACCTATGAACACATGAAAATCAGCGGCTCACAGAGATCTGCACATAAATTTGGTGACTGACACTGAAGACTTAACATAACAATTATTCTGTCTTTGCTTAGATATCTTCTTTAAACTTGTTTGTTCATGGATCATAGCGGCAAAAGAAAAACAAATATGATATACATTACTGAATAACCTGCTCCTGATTTGTAACAGACACATCCAGAAAGTGACGGGGTTAAACATGTTAGCCGGATGGCGGGCGCTTAACAACCCCTAACTTGTGTAGTATATTTCTGGTGAGAGTGGGAGAATACTTTTTCAGAACTACTTTTCGGATCACGTCAAATTGTTGTTCTGATAAAGTGATGCCTTAATATATTTATGTGAGTAAGAATTGCTATGATTTTTTAAGGCGGAAGAATCATTGATGATGCCCTGAATGATGCCGTATGCCGTTTTCGATACATTAAAAAACGCGGGTTTACCAAATCAAATGTTATAACTTGATTCACTGTTGTTACATAAAACGTTTTTCTCATTAATGTACATCTGTTATTATAAGTACGTTGTCAAATTCTTATAAAAAAACAACGATTCTATAATTGCATATTTTTCTGTTTCTACAGCAAAATCATGCAGATTTTCGCATAAAATTGATTTTTCCCACAATTCTAATTTTCAATTTTGAAGTGCAAAAAGGCTACAGATAAAAACTGGAACAAACTACTAATTCTTTTAATAACTCTTAAGTCCTTACATTTTACTTTCCCGTTTGCGTATGATATATGTTTAAATTATTACTTACTGCTAAGCTGTAACTAACATTATTTTTCCACAGCTCAAGTTATTCAGAAGAATAGTAATCTGAAGTTATGGGTTGCCTTGCTAGACGGATTTTTTAATAAACTTCCTAACCCACTCCAGCTTCCTATAGTATTTAAAAAAGCTGTTAATGAGTTACTAAAGGCAGGTTATAAAGGGAAGAAAGTGTTCTTGGCTGGACATAGTCTTGGAGGTATGCATATTATATTATCATATACTTAGAGTAAATAACTTATATTTTTTACTGTATGATAATAGCATGAAATGTACGTAAATTCCATATTTTCCGAAATGGTGTTTAGCGGGCTGATATGAAAAATTTATCACATGCTTCCGTCTATTATCACATACCTCTCCGTAACGTTATCGCATGGCATTCCGGCGTTACTCGGTAAATTCCGGAAAATACACCTCAATGGTATGTTTTCAGTGAAAAACATAACAAAGTAGGGTACAAAACAATTATTATGGAACAGGAAAATATATAATGTAAAATGCAAAAAAAAAACCAAATGATACAATAAATGCGTTTTTCAAAGTTTCCAGCATAATTTAAAAAGTTACTTTACAAATGTTGACCTTTCGAAACAATGTTCATCATGTTTTGTTGATTTTTTTTTATCGTCAATAAAAATAAAATTGTTATTTTTCTCCATTGTTGAAGCATATGATAAAAAGATCATAACATGTCATTTTTCATATCAGATGTATTATCAGCCTTCGGTCAATATCAGCCCTCGAGCCTTCGGCTCTTGGGCTGATATTAAACCTTGGGCTGATAATACATCTGATATGAAAAATGCCATGTAATAATCTGATATTATTACACTGTAAATATAACCACGCCATGTTATAGATATTTAATTATTGATATACTTTTTATGCAATGTTAATTTAAGATCATTTCGAACCAGGCACGAAGCAGGTGCCTTCGACTCCAATCTTTATTGTCTAGGATTGTCAGTTTTTCTGCCGAAAGGTGGTGGTTCTCTCCGGGCACACCGGCTTCCTCCATCAATTAAAACTGGCCTAAAAAGATTAATAACAACAAACAACATAATTATGGTCCAGATATCCTTACTTGGAAGGCAAGAAACCGCGGTGTTTGGGATAAATCAATTTTACGTGCGTACAAACCTACTCCTTTGCCTGTAATGACCATATGTTATGAAAAAGAAAACACCCAAGAAAAATCCTCCTATATAAAAATAAGGAGATGAGGTATGATTGCCAATGAGACAAATATCCACCAAAGTTCAAATAAAGTGGATGTATGCAATTTAGACAACCGTACGGCATTCAACATTGAGAAAAATCCATACTGTATAGTCGGCTATAAAAGGCCCCGATATGAAAAATATGAAACAATTCAATTAAGAAAACTAAAGGCCTAATTTATAACAAAATAATTAACGAAAAACAAATATGACAGACATGAACCAACGACAACCACTGAACTACAGGCTCTTGACTTGGGATAGGCACATAAAGAATGTGGCGGGGTTAGACATGTATTTTAGCGGTCAATCCTCCCCTTAAACGACTGCAGTGGTGTAACAGCACAACATAAGAACAAACTATAAAAACCAGTTGAAAAAGGCTTAACTCATCAGATCGATACAAAGCAGAAACACATCAACATAAACACAGACCGGACGTGGCAGGGTATTTATCCATCCCTCTACCCGAACAACACAAAAGGACACTAAGTACAGATCTGAGAGTACACGCAGTTAATGACAGCTAGTTCAAAGCCAATAACAACTAATAGAAAAATCATGTATCTAAGACTAAAATATCAATCAGTACACATCCAACATCCAATGAATTTAGTGTAAAGACGTCATTAACAGTCAGAGAAAAACATGACCTTGTGCAAAACTAAAATAAAGGTATCGACAGATTGTAGTACCGTTAAAGTGCATATGTGTATAACAAAACTATTTAGTATGATTTTGATTTACTGATAACAAAATCAATATTTTACCAATGAAAACAATATTCAAAGTTCTAATTACAGTGTTGAATTGGTAACCTTTTAGAATAAGTTTATTCAAAGGATTGATAAGTTTACCCGGATCGTATATAAATTTCCAGTTATTTTTTATTTGTGTAGTCAAGCTACACAAATTAAGCAAACTTATAAAGTCTACTTCCAATTCATACGGTCTTTTTCCATGACATTTTTCGTTCCATAACTACCTCCCAATTTTCCGCACCGAAACAATTCACGCGCGTGAGGAAAAGGTGTGCATATAATTTGAAAAGAAATAAGGTTGAACGATGTTTTGTATGAAAATCTGATGAAAGATTTTAATATAGTAGTAATTATAAGGAATATAAGGGATATTTGTAGGACATTAACTGACTAGCAACGAAAGCAGCATCGTAGTACATAGCTCAAGAGCGGGAATTAACTCAAGCTTAATTTGCTCAATGACAATTAACAGTAGCTGAAAATGTTCGTAAGTAAGTTTTAGCCAATTCTTTGTCATAAAAATTTAGCAAACCCGACTAAAAATAGCTATATCCTCTATTTTAATTTGCAGTAACACCAACTATATGCTAAGTTTAATTCTAGGTGAAGTTGCAGCCCTTTATGGACAAAAAGCGAACCATATTTTAGATGGAGTGTTGTTGTTTGCATCATACATTACAAAGAACAACAAACTTAAAGAGTATCCATTTCCGGTTCTGACCATTAGCGGTGACCTAGATGGATTAACTAGAATAACCAGAATCGTAGATACGTTCGAGTGAGATTAATTTTTAAACACTATTTGTTTGTTTTTATTTTCATATACTAGTAACTGTTGCCTTGGCGACAATTAATGTGTAAGTTAAAGGTAACAGCAAATATTAGCCATGAAACAGTAGCAACCATATAAAGGATAAGAAGTTAAACATTTAAAAACTAAATAAAGATCAAATCGTTTAATACATTTGAAAAGCTTGCTACATTTTATGTAAAAGGACTTGATAAGAATCCTGTATGGAAGCATGTATAACGTTAACAAGACATAAATTGGTAATTGTTCAGTTTTCTAATCGGGGAAAATACAGACAAAATTACACTTTCATAACTATAATATAAGAATGAAACATAAAAAGGATAAAAAAAATTCGCCAAAAACAGAAGACCATCAACCACCAGACTACTCCGAAAAAAAACCCCAAACATACAAACAAGCTCAGAAAACTATGAACAACACATGGATCAGAAAGACTTTGCACATGCACAACATGTGGTGATTTTAATCAGTTTAACGTGCAAACAAACCTGCACCTTTGCTTATATCTAGACCATACATTTGTCGTAAAACTAAAACGCACAGAGCAGCTTACAGGACGACCACTAATTTGAAGTTTAAACAAATGAAATTTAAAACGGCACATTATTTTGAAAACAGTTCAAAAATGAGGAAGGTCATACCATCGGAAGAAAGTTTTTTTTGTACTGAATAAGGGAGTCTATGACGCATGTAACCTTTGATGTTTTATTTTTTTAAGAAATTTCGCGAGTTTATATCATTTGCAGTGTATTAGTTCTATGAACGACTTTATTTAAGGATATATTTAGGTGAAATTTAAAAAAATCTAGAATTTAAAATTGATACTATAATTCAGAAGAGCATTAGTAAAGGAACAAAATAAGCTAAAAATATTGATAGGTTATGGAACTTATGCGATATTTGAGTTTTAAAAAATGGCGGAAAAAGGCTGACTTGGACTTTCACCTTATGTATAGCATTGGCATTGGTCTCAAATCGCAAGACAAAAATCTAAAATCTGCTTAAATTTTAATATTTTTTATGAGCCATTGAAGTCTTCTATGAAAAGACAAGTGGGTGATATGGGGCAAAATATTTTACCCTGTATCGTAGGAAAAAACCCAAGTAGTCCGAATATCTGACAAAAATTCATAAACCTGACCTAAGTACATCCTTAAGGTACGACGAGAAACGCCGTCTAATAGTATTCATTTTTACGAGAAACATTATGTTTAATACATGTAATAAGATGCTGATACCGACTGTTAGATTTGTAGAAAGTCTTCAGGAGTCTGTGGTTTCAGTAAAAGTCATTTCTGTGTTAATGCAATGTTACGATTATAGTAAGCTACATTAGAACACGTTCTAGCAAACCGTACCAGTTGTGAAATAAACACGGCATAAAATGCGCCATATGGAACATTGCCGTACAAAAAAAAAGAATTGAGATCTTCCATTTATCGTATTTGTCATGTCCGTTTTACTATTTTTTCCAATACAGCAAGGTTTAAAAAATGACAATATTGGTTTTTATTTCAGGGAACTCCAAGAAGACGTGAAAAGCGATCCAGAGCAAATATACAGGACACCTGTAATAGTAATGGAGAGCATAAATCACGGACAGTTCGCGTCGGGTCAATTACCAAAAACTGTAACTGATCATGATCTAAATCCAGAAGTATCTCAATCTGTAGCATATAATACCATAGCTAATTACTCGAACGCATTCATGGTAGTTGTCAGAAATGATACAGATACCAATGTAACGCAAGCCGAAAATATCTTGGAAGACGGTTATACTAAAACCACTACAATGATGCAGGTGAATATAATAAGGCTATTGATAAAGTAATAAATATGGTGAAACTGTCAATACAATGATAGAGTTTTTGTTTGATCTTAGTAGTCTTTAAGTAAAGTTATCTAGTATTTATATATCAAATATAGGAAAACTCAGCAACAAACTTACGTAGTAAAGTTTTTTTATTCTGATCATTGGAATATCAAACACTGCAATGTGGGATCTACGTTTCCACTAAATTTATACTCGATCTACTAATTAGCAAGTTTCATTTTTAGAAATCTAGAGTTAACAATCAACAGTGTCCATGAAAGTCAAAATTGTAGTAGCGTTAAAACATTTAAAACCGTATTGTCAGAATGACAACTACTCACATTAAATTTTCTTCTGTTCTCTGACTGGTGTCTTCCTGGACTCTTCCTGGAATGCCTACATTTTATAGAAAATCTATTCCTCGAATGCCTACCAAAAAAAAAAGAATAGATGTTGTTTTAATGAAGGGGCCTCGGTGGCCGAGTGGTCTAAGTAGTTACTACTGTAATCACTAGACAGTCAACACTGAGGTTGCGAGTTCGAACCCCGCTGGTGCCGGTGCACTCGACTCCAATCTTAATTGACTAGGATTGTCAGTTTTCCTATCGAAGGTCGGTGGTTTTCTCTGGGCACTCCGGCTTCCTCCACCAATAAAAACTGGCCGCCACGAAATAGCCCAAATGTGGCGCTTAAAAATGGCGTTAAAACACCAACAATCAATCAATCAATGTTTTAATGAATTGGTGTTGTTTTAGAACAAAATTTAATAGTTAGGAAAAAAGTAGTTTAAAGGTAAAAATTATTTTTCACCATAAAAATATCTTTTTTTTTATATAAACATTTAATTTAAATGAAATGCAATAATAATATTTAATTTTTAAGTTAAAAATTAATAATAAGAAAAATAGCATTAAAATTCAAAGTAAGAAATTAAAATTGAAACAAATAAATGAAAGAACGACTGTTTAAATATAAAAATAAGAAAATGTGGTATGATTGCGAATGAGACAACTCTCCACAAGAGACCAAATGACACAGAAATTAACAACTATAGGTCACCGTACGGCCTTCAACAATGAATAAAACCCATACCACATTACCTATATTCTTTATCAATTGAACACGAATAAATATATATTCCTTATTCTAGTTATCTTTCGTTAACATTTACTGAGCTGTCAAAGAAGAGTGTTTTTATCATTCCTTTAAAAAAAATCATTTCAAACATACAGAAAAAAATACAAAATATTAATTTATTGCAAACAAACAGGAAAATAAAAATATTGCCTGAAATTTTAATTAGGAAACTCATCTTGCCTGCACAGATTATGATTACTGTTTATTTTGATTACACTTAATTTTGATAAGACACTATTCCTTGAATGCCTACATTTTTTTACCTGTATTTTGTCAGCAGATCAAAAGGTGTAGGCATTCAAGGAATAAACCCTCTGACTCAATCCTTATATCTCCTGACCTAGTTTACTACTAGAGGTACTCACAAAAAGATACCAACCGGTCTTACATAAAGCAATGTGCAAGTTTATAATTTAGCTTATAGAACACCCAAAATAATTAGGATAAAAACAAAATAGATGCACAATGACGTTTTATTGTAAAGATTCTGAAAACAACAAATTGTAATGAGGGGTTAAGCAGGATTTGGGGAAGGGTGTTTGGGCGAATGACTATTAACCAATGCGACTTATCATTGGGTGTATATGTCATCAGGAACAAGGAGGGTATAACAAGTTCAGCAGAAACTGTTACCTTTTTGGAGGTCTTAGTTCATCTTCGATTTATTTGTGTGTTCCTTTGTTCAATCTTTTTCTGTGTGGTATTTATCTGAACTGTTGTTGATCTTGTTATCTTTTTACTAAGGGAATGGTGTTTTTATGCTCTTTTTTGACTTAGATTTTTATAGACAGTATATTTCCCAAGTGAAATGTCTACTATGTGGTTAAGAGGGATAAGAAAGAAATTGGAAAGTGACCGAAACGTCTTACAAAAAGGTTCATTTTTGTTCACTATGGAGATTCCGTATATCGTCAGGTTATCGGATTTCCCAAGGGGACTAACTGTGGACCACTTATTGCGGACCGGTTTCTGTATTGTTATGAGTTACAATTTATGACTAAAATCAGCAAAATCCCATCGAAACAACATCTGATTCAAAAATTTAATAACACTTTTAGATATTTAGATGATATATTGGCTTTCAAAAATGACGACTTCAGTATGTACACTAAAGAGATTTATCCTGCCGAACTGACTTTAAATAAAGCTAATACTAACAATGAACACTGCCCTTTCCTGGATCTTGATATCTTTATCCTTAACGGGAAGCTTAATACCAAACTTTATGATAAAAGAGATGATTTCTCATTTCCTATTGTTAATTATCCATTTTTAGATGGTGACGTTCCCTTGTCGCCATCTTATGGTGTTTATATATCTCAGCTTGTTCGATTCGCTTGTGTATGTAACAACGTATTTGATTTCAACGAAAGAAATCTCTGTATTATTGAAAAATTATTACACTAGGGTTTTCGATATCACAAACTATTCAAAACATTTACTAAATTTTATCATCGGTACAAGGACATCATTCGTAAATATAAATCAACATGCAGACATCATATACGTTCAGGTATTTCACATCCAATATTTTATGGTAATATTGTTTACAAAGCACAAAAATGTCGGCATTCACCTCAAAAGCTAACCAAACCTTTAATCGGACTTATTCGGAAAGGATATACTTACGATACTGTTGTCAAGTCATTAAGGATTGCATATTTTGGTATTAATATTGATTCACTCATAGGGTCTTTGCATCGGAAATAAACACATTTATTCTAAAACCAGTTGTTGGCATGATACGGGTTATGTTCTTCTCATATATTTTATGATGGTATGATACTAAAATCCTAACGGGAGGGATTGTACTTGATTTTATATGATGAAGACATAATCTTTCAATCAGTTTAATTGAGGTCTTGAGCTGGCATGTCATTAACTGCTAGTAGTCCTTTGTTCATTTATGTATCATTGTCATTTTGCTAAGTTTCTTTTGTTACCTATTCTGACACCAGACTCGGACTTCTTTTAAACTGAGTTTTACTGTGCGTATTGCTATGTGTTTCTTTATTCTACATTGGCTAGAGGTATAGGGGGAGGGTTGAGATCTCACAAATACGTTTAACCCCGCCGCATTTTTGCGCCTGTCCAAAGTCAGGAGCCTCTGGCCTTTGTTAGTCTTGTATGTTTTTTAATTTTAGTTCATTTATATGTTTTGGAGTTTAGTGTGACGTCCATTTTCACTGAACTAGTACAAATTTTATTTAGGGGCCAGCTGAGGACATCCACCGGGTGCGGGATTTTCTCGCTGCGTTGAAGACCCATTGGTGGCCTTCGGCTGTTGTCTGCTCTTTGGTCGGGTTATTGTCTCTTTGAAATATTCTCCATTTCCATTCTCAATTTTATTAATCACAACAATAATAAAATGAAATGGTTAACACCAATCATATAATTCTGTAAAAATTAAAATCAAGTGCATTTGTTTATAATTGTATTTTGAACATAAGCGCAAATGAATTATGTTTTATACCATTTTAGCCTCTCTCGAAAGTGAAAGCTCTTGATCAAAACCCAGAATTTACCTCACACTGGACTAACACTGCTCAAGAACTCGTTGTCAGTCTGAAAAATATAACAGGTGTTGAGGTAATATTATTCTCTCTGAATGTTTTTCAGTACAACTGTTAAAGTAAAAATTAATAATATCATCATTAACTGTAGATGAGCCATTTGTATGATCTAGCTAGATTATCTCTCTCAAAAGTATTTGATGTCTACGTGAACAAGTATTGACAAAAATACCGAACTCCAATGTAATTCAACAATGGGGGAAGTCGATAAAACCTGACAAAACCAAACGCTCGATTATATCAACCAACGTAATGAATGGAAATCAACTGTCATATTCCTGACTTGGTACATGCATTTTCGATAGAAAATGGGGGATTAACCTGGTTTTATATCTCACTTGTATGACAATTGTTTATAGTTAAGTTATATTGACAAAGTTGGGTGAGCAACCCAAACAGACATTATTGGTAAACGTGACAATAATTGGGACCCAGCAGCCAAACCTGTGTAAACATATCACAATCATAGAAACCAAAACTGATTTAAAAATTAAAACATACAAATAAATCTGACATAGACGCCAATAAAAAAAGGATTTTTGTAGTTGATAATACACACAGTATTGTAAAACATAATTTCGTATACACACCTCTCTGATAATTAGGATTCAGCAGCCAAAACTGTGAAAATAAACATCACAAACATACAAACATAAATGACATACAAAATCAAACAAACATGCAAATAAATCTGACAAAGACGCCAACAAAAACGTTTCTGCGGTTAACACAGTATAGTAAAACATAATTTCATATACACTTTTTCGATAAAGTACAAATTAAGTAAAATATGTAACCAAGGGATATAAAATTAAAACAACACTATAAAAACCTCGTGCGTCCGAATCATACCTCTGGACCCACCCGCTTCAAGAACGCCCAAAGCCAAAAACCCGATAACTGAATGAACAAATTCCATGTCACTTCAAAAGTCATACGACCAGAAGGAACATAATAGTATAAAGACAAATAAAGTGAACACTGTAAAGTTAATAACGTCAGCACATAGAATCTGTAAATCAAGACCATCATGTGAATAAATGAGTTATTAAATGAGTAGTTTTTGATAATGAAATTATGAACAGAACAACCTTGGATTTCTTAATATGCTTATAAAGCAGAAAACTTTAAAAGATGCTATTTTTTACAATTATTTATATTTTATATAACAATAAGATTTTATCTAAAGACCTGCAAACATGAAAAGCATTTTCGTTCAAATTGAATTTATCTTTTATTAGTTTATCAATTACGAAGACGAATCACTGGATATTTTACCAAAACAATCACGTGTCTTAATTCCGTCAGATAATATAAAAATTGAAAGTCTGACAACTTTATGGATGCAACCAAACCCTCTAGATTCAACTACATCACCTCTGAGTCCTTTACAACTAAAAGCAACGATGAAAAGTCAAGAGGCTGTCAAAAAGATTTTACCCTCCAGTCAATTTGGTATACCGGCATCCTGTAAAGAAGTCAATCAGGTACTAAGTATTTATTGTCAGATCTATTTTGTTCTCAAAGTAAACATTTGATCATCAAATATGAACATAACAAAAAAGTGTGATATGTTTATTAACGATGCAAATCATTTTTGTTTCATAAAATATGCATATTTTATGATATAGATTGAATTAAAAAAAATCAGAGAATATATCTGTTACAGAATTCTAAATTGGTTTATCTCCAAATTAGTTTTCTAAAACAATGTTTGATAATGGAAATGAATGGACAAACTGCAACCAATGAATTTGGTGAAATAAATGTTTGAAAACTGCATGTATGATTAAACTACAACTGAACACCAAGTTCATGCAACGAAAATAAATGAGAAAAAACTCAAAATAAAGATCATACATGATTGAAAACTAAAGCATCTGTAATACCAAACCCATAAAAAAGGTATCATGGAGTTGACAGAGTATTCTTTCTCTCTTTAGTCACCATTTGTATTGTCCCTTATTCAAATTCAGTAACATGTATGATAACAGGAAATTTTTCATCTTTAGGTAAGAGTTCACCATTGTTTAAATTCAGATTTTAGCTGTGAGTGTTTTGCACACAAAAATACTAGGAGGTTGTTCATTTCCGATTGTTCATTCGTAAAAAACCGTAGCTTTAAGAATATCAAATAGTGGATTACTAGGACATACTAGAATATTGAAAAGATTTGGACGTAAACTTTATTATAAATCATGTTTTTCAGAATGCTTATGAACTAGCCTTTGCGAAATCATCACCAATGGCAAAGGAAAGGTACACATCAAGAGGAAGACGAATTATATTCAATGATGACGTCAGTGTTTCATCAGAATTTCAATGGGTCAGGTCGCAATTAGACCTCAACTATAATCAAACAGGTCTCTATGTAACAGCTGCCAGATTCCAGACTGGTATGAGTGAGCCAACGAAAAGCTATTCTGGACAAAATGATTGTACTTTGATATCGCCGTTCAGGGCAATGGAATGGATTTATATCGACTCTCTAAAATATACAACGTCACAAATAAAATCTAATTCTACATAATTTAAGATTTTAGTCTGTAAATATCAACTATAAAAGTCTCTACAAACAGGAAATGTTAATGAAATAAAACTTTTTATATAGTAATCTCTGCATCATTAATGGAGAAATAAAAAAAAAAAACAAGTGCTGAATGATTAACTTCAAATTTAGACGAAAACATTAACTTTCTGAATAAAGAAATCATTTCCAATCGCAAACATTTTAAATTGGATTTCATCGTTTATGATCAAATATCTTCAGAATTTCATGGTAACAGGGAAAGCCTAATCAAACTGAACTCGGGGTACTAATAATATCGATCTTGCAATTTCGCAAATAAGGGTATCCCCAATGCAAAACCACTTTTCAAAGATACCAGGCTTATATTTGTGTAAACCAGACACGCGTTTCTACTACAAAAGACTCACCAGTGACGACCGCATCAAAAAAAAGATAAAAGGCCAAATAAAGTAAGAAGTTAAAGAGCATTGGAGACCTAAAATTCCGAAAGGTTTTTCCAAATACAGCTAAGATAATCAAACAATAATTACGGTTTATATCATTGGCTAAGTATCCCTAGTTCGGACGCATGAAATTATTTAACGTGTTGTTTTTATTTTTTACAGCACTGGGTCGATGCCTCTGCTGCTGGATAATCAGTCCCAAAGGGTATCATCAGCTCAGTAGTCAGTACTTCGGTACTTACATGATTTATAACAAACCTTTCTAAAAGTGTCTGCTTATAATTTTGAAATTATAAAGAAACTAAGGTTTCAACTCCCTCAGGCAAAGTTGAACTTAGATGGATTTAGCAATTTATATAGGCATTTTTTGTCATAAAGCTCTTCAACTGTTTCGGTTTTTATACATCCTTGGCTTTAAAAAGTAAAATACAAAAATACCGAACTCCAAGGAAAATTCAAAACGGAAAGTCCCTTATCAAATGGCAAAATCAATAGCTCAAACACATCAAACGAATGGAAAACAACTGTCATATTCTTGACTTGGTACAGGCATTTATTTAGAAAATGGTGGATTAAACCTGGTTTTATGCTAGCTAAACTTCCCACTTGTATGACAGTCGCTTATAATTCCATTATACTGACAACAATGTGTGAACAAAACAAACAGACATAATACGAAAAAATGTCAAAAATAGTGGTACAACAGTCAGCATTGTGTTATAATCTTGATCACTATAAAAACAAACAAATATGTCAAAAAAAAACCCCAAAAAAAAAACAATATGGCATACAGACAAAGCACATAAGCAAAAATGAACGACAAGAATACAAAAAATGACCATATCACAATAATACAATGGTGGGGTGTATAAGTACCAAGCCACGCCAAAAGGATATAACCAAAAATGGACTAAAAAAAGGTTAATAATTTACAAAGAACATAATAACACGTAATTAAGATGATAAAAAACGTAGAATCTATACTTCAAGACCATCATGTATTATTTGTGAAACTGATACAGAATATCTATCAACAAGGTCTTGGTATCTTCCGATGAACTTATACAGAAAACGGACGAGACGTTCTTTGACATAACCCTGGTTCAACTTTCTGCTCAGACACAGGTGACGTTTACAAAGTCTGAGTAGCAGCTGCAAGCTCTTGAATACCGAATACCCATATGCAGGTGAAGTTGGTATATTGCTAATAAGGGGGGATTGATAATTTCAAAATTAAAATCGTCTCATATATCATAGATTCTGGTACTGGATGACCGCTTATGTCAAATTCGAGTTATAAGTCTAAAAATGAGGCAGAGGAAGCCGTGTCTGATGTTTCTTTATTTTTTGTTCTTGAGGATATATTAATGGAACCCAATCAGAAAAGTTTGGATTGTTAATGGAAAGAACATTATCAATATATCTGAATGTGAAATTTATAAATGACCTGGCTTTTTTTATCTTTTTGTTTTTGAAAAGTGTCTGAAGGAACTCCGACTCGTGTGAAAATAAGAAGAGGTCGACAAGGAGAGGCGCACAGCTCGTTCCCATAGGAGTGCCAACAATTTGTTACAAAACTCTACCTCCAAATTCAACAAATATGTTGTCAATAAGAAACTCCAGCATACTGATCAGTTGTTCCTCTGTATAGCATGTTTTACCTTTTTGTTCACTATTTACAAAATATGCCGTATGGTATCCCAAAGTAATAAATTTATAACGTATGCTACCATTTTTATATTGAAAAGCATTGTGGATTATTTCTTTTAGACGATTTTTAAATTTAACATGGGGAATGGTGGTATACAGGGTTGAAAAATCAAAAGTTTTAATAGAATTGATTTCAGAGAAAGATCGTGATTTAAAATTATCCAGAAGTTCTTTAGAAATTTTTAGAATCCACATATGGTTAATACCACTACGCGAGTAAAAATTTCACATTATTTCTGAAGACACTCTTTCACTGTGGACAGAATTTTTGTCAATCTAATGGACAATTCTTTTGTAGAACATGCAGATGAGCCGGCAGTGTACCGTTGTTTGTACGGAATTTTGTGAAGCTTAGGTATCCAATACAAATAAGGTAAGTCCTCAGATTTGCTGTTCAAAGTAATGTTCATTGAAGCCATGAAGGACTTATGATTTGTCAAAATTTCATCCTTGTCAGATATGTTTTTGATTGTAGGATTATCTGAGTGCTCATTTATTCCTAATTCTTTTTCAAGACACTCGTAATAGTACGATTTACATACAAAGACAATATTATTTAAAGCTTTGTCCGCAGTAACAACAACATATTTATCGTGAAGAGATGATAGACATTTCACAGCTTCTTTGTCTCTGAAAACGGACTTTGGTCGATCATTCACACTACAACTTATGAATTCGACGTTTTATGAGAGACCTGGGCCCTCGGTCATAAAACTTTACTCAGTACTCGGAGTAGGCCGCAAGGCCTGATTGTTTTGACCCATTCTGACAAAGTGTCCAGTTCAATTCTTCTCGTTTAGCCCATGTTCTGGCGTAGTCCTAAATTGAATCCATAATTATTTTGAATTTATGGTTCCAATTGATGTGTTGGGCTTCTCTGAACTTAGGACCATGAGATATCACTTTTCGGAGATATTCATGTTGAATTATGTTTAGATCCCCAATAATAACATTTCCAGAGGGGCTGTAAATGTAGGGCGAGTGGGAACAGTCACAGTTCATAAGGTTTTTTTTAGGTATTCTTCTAAATCAAGGTCTTGCAATGCTTGCTTATAGTTAAATACTTTAGGTGCAATGGTTTTGGCGTAACTGTATGATACAATAGGAGCTGATGTTGATGTTAAAATATTCGGATTTGAGCGTTCCAGATGAAGGTTAATCAAGAAAAGCGCTTCGGGCGCATGAAATTATTTTTTAAATGTTGTTTTCTTTTTTTGGACGAGATAATAAAGGTCTCTTTTAGTTTGAGATTTGTCCTGTATTGCAAGACAAAGATACTGTTGAAGGAGTTTGTAGATATAAATCGTATTGATATGAATTATAGTTGCTTTAAAAACATCGAATGTTAAGTTGAATGCAGGACAAAAATGACAAGATTCTTGCAAATAAAAGGAACCGGTGATGTTGTCCTTTTGCCTAAAAGCGTGATTCATCATTCAACATTTAATTGAATGGAGCCTCTACATAAATTGTTTATCAAATGCTAAAGCTAGTGCTTTTCCGTCGTAGTTTTTATGGATTGACAAATACATGTAATCAGTAATGAGTCAAAGCAAAGGATATCACGCACGTCAAGAGGGTAATTGTTTCTGGGAATGCATCACACTATCGTACTTTTATACCATACGGTTGTCTGTCTTAAGTTTTCGCATTAAATTATAAGCCTGGTAACTTTGATAACTATTTCATAAGAATAAATAATGTTTTATAGTATTATTTTGTTATTCTTATTCTGATCTAAAACAATCCGAGATTGCAATGCCTTGGTTTTGAATTTTCAGAAATTCTGACCTCTAGCATCACTGAAGAGACATTAATTGTAGAAATACGCATCTGGTGCTGTACATTGGTATTATATTAGACTTTAAATTGTCAGACATCGCATACATATATCGATATGTACACATACGAATCACAAACATTAGAAAATCACTAAAAATTAATGAAATATACCAGTCTTATATAATTTAGTACGCAAGACGCGCGTTTGACTCGCTATTGACGCTCGAATAAAAATATCTTAGGTCGTTCTGGTTTTTTTTCCAGATACTGTTTCTAATCCAAACAGATGAAAACGGTTTAAGATAGAAATTCCAAGGCCAAGTCTATAGTCCAATCTGCTGATAATATCAATGTCGCTCCCCGGTATAGTGGACAAGTCATCACATGAGGACGATATGATATCATATACATAGATATGATGTGATATATCATTTTATAAAGATAAACACCTGATAAACAAAGATACACGTATTTGTATTTACTTCTTTGAACAAAATGGATACAATATACAAAATAGCTTTGTTTTCTCTGTGCATTCAATCATGTTTGAGTATAAAAGTGACAATTATGGCTCCAAACAAAACTGGATCGGAAGCTGCAATAGTGATCGTCCCTGATACGTCTATACCGGGAGCGGCGTACAAGCCTCTAGGTAAGAGGACTTCACTATTTAAAAAGATAAAGCTCATTAACATTTAAAACCAGTTTATGACAATATGATTATATACTAATCAACAGAATTTTGAATAAAACATTGTGTACTATAAGTGAGATTTACCAAAAACTGCATTATTGTACGTATTGAGTCAATGCCTTTGCTTACTAATATTCGATAAAAATCACTTATTTCAAAAATATTTCCTAGGCAATTGACAAATTGAAATGAACTTTATCGAACGAACCAATCACATTTGAAACGCGAATCTCGTGAATACGTTTGACCGAAGCAAAGAAAATAAATGACCCTAGTGAAAGGAATAAATTTTAATAAACAATGAATTCGTAAACACATTGTGCACATATAATAACTGATGAAGTAAAACCATGGACTTAACAGTTATGGTCAGTTGCTTCTGTTTCTGTTTCACTTACAGGGTAAACATAAAAGAATTATCAAAACCTACTTGAATGTTAATATTAAGACCTACATAATATACTTAAATATTTTTCAAAAATTTTACCACGTTAACTTCGAATGGATTTTTATACAAAATTATAATTTTCACATGTTTTTTTGTAAAATTTTACATCGAAGTTCATCTAAACAAAATGAACTAACTTGTATCTGACAACCCGTATTTCTTCATTCCAAAGAGGACATTGGCAAAAGGGGAGGAGCGTGTGCACGAAAATCCGGTTTTACCCCACCTTATATCCTACCTGTACAAGTCATGCTATCTAGAACACGTGTTGATCGTTATCGTTTACGGTGGTTTGTGTGGTCTAATGTACTCTTCAATTTGGTACAAAATATTTATGATTCCTGTTATCCTTTTTGTGAACCATTTGGTTTTAGTAAAAAAAATACAGGTTTGAGATATCTTTATACATTTATAATTTTGTCGAATGATTCTTAATAAGTCAGAATATTGTCAGAACTTCAAAGTACTCTGAATTTTTCGTAATGATTAAAAATATGAAAATGACCCGGGTGTGAATTTTTGTAGCGGAAATTTGCCCTACCGGTGTATTGAATATGAAATCAGATGAAGTTATAGTCATTATCAAAGTATGTCACTGTTTAAACTGTAAGTTCCAACAAAATTTATACAAATCAATAAAGATAATAAATTATGCATGTCTGATTGAATTATAATATATATATTATGTGATTCAATGTTGTGATCTAATTCAATGTTTTGTATAGCATAGAAGAGAATACAAGCTAAGTTTGCTTGAATATATACAAGCATAGTTATTGGAACATATTATAGTTAATGGGATACTTGTTATCTTTTTAAAAGATAAGATATGATATCTTATTACTATGTAATCAAAACAATTGCTATGATTGATACTAAATATCACAAATAAACAATGAACAATATAAACCTGTAACATGGATAAAACATCCATTTTTTTTTAAATGCGTGACACATGCCTCTCCTCATATTTGCATTTAAATTATTATATTAAGAACAGTGACAAAAAGGAAATACTGCCTACTTATATAATATATTTATCTATATACTAAAAAAGGGAGGCGGAAGATACCAAAGTCGATTACAAACTGACAACGCCATGGCAAAAAACGAAAAACGACCAAAAGGCAAAAAAAAAACATATAAAAACATTACATAGGAAATTTAAGACTGAGCAACAAGAACCCCACAAAAAAATCTGGTGTGATCACAGGTGCTCCGGAAGGATAAGGAAATCCTGTTTCACATGTGGCAGTCGTCGTGTTGTTTATATAAGTACAAACTCGGCGATAAGTCTAATTCTGTGATGTCACATTCGAGGAAAAGAGGGCGGGATTCGTTGTCATTTGTAAAACAGACATTCCATAACAGTCAACCAACTTGTTATGGCGCACGTAAAATTTTCGATGGCACGACTTCAACTTCACCACATGGAAACCTTTGTTTAATAACTTCATTAAAAGCAGTTCATCAAGAAAATCATAATAGGAAATGCAAGCTCTGTAATATCGTAGCAGCTGGGAGATATGTACAGTTCTTCATATGCAGGCACTGCTTGAATGTTATTACATAGAAATGGAAAGTTCACAATTGGGAAGCGGATATCATCCCTGTTGTCGTAATAGTTTGTTCTCGACCGATCCTCATTGTTAATTTCTAGATGGAAGTCAAGATATGAGGCAGTCTTAACTGTATCTGTTGTATCCTTTATTTCAAGTTCGATGGGATAGATGCGTTCAACATAGTCAACAAATTTTGAATTGTTTAGTGATGGAACATCATCTTTTTAGCGGAATGTGAAGTTAAGGGAGAAGGAAATAGCTTCTTGTCATTCTTCCTGAAAATTGCATGTATTAAGTATGCCTTATATTAGTAAAGGAACAAGTCAGTTAGAAGATGAACACAGTTGGTTCCGATGGGAATGCCGATTGTTTGTTGAAAAACACGTCCTCAACACGTTATAAATACGTTGTCATTAATACACCAAGCATCTTGATAATGTCTATTTTTTCTTTGAATCAGAGTGTTTTGTTTACACAGTATGATTTGTCCATCCCTAAAACAAGATATCTGTATATATGTTGACCATTTTTTTAATGAAACAAAAGTAAGAACAATTCTTTTAATTTGTCTTTAAGTTTGGAAAAGGATAAACTTGTGTAAAGGGTAGAATAGTCACTTGTTGTTTATACTATTGCTATAACTATAGGTTATTCGAAAGAGAAAAAAGAGTCCCATTATTGATAAACATAAAAAAACACACATGTAAAACACACAGTTCATGAATTGTTAATGTTGCTTTTATCACTATATATATCTGACTTATGCCATTAACAATAATCATAAAAATGTCATATTTATCAAAAGAAACAGAAAATTAATTAATTTTCATTACGCATTGAATTAAATCAAGGAACAATATCAGAATTTTCATTAAACATTTTGATTTAAGAGTTATTTGGTTATGGACACATTATTACAAAATGGAATTTATCTTCCACCTCTATATTATCTGAAACTTCGTTATTGAAAAAAAAATGTTAAGTAAGAATTAGAATGTGACGTTGACAAGACTTGTTATTGGTGCATTCTTCCATTTATTGGGTCTTGGTAATTTAACTTAACTTACAATACAATTCATATGAATGATGTTTCAGCTAACGCAATACAGAACCGAAGCGCTCTGAGATTATGGGTTGCAATTTTAGAGACGATTCCAGGTACATTAGCATTCCCTTTCGAATTCAACTATGCATGTAACGAGTTACTGGATAAAGGTTTCCACGGAGATAAAGTATTTCTAGCAGGCCATGGTGATGGAGGTAGAACACATTTTTATGCCCTTTCACTTTTAATATTTCTCATAATGTTCTCTTTCAGCAAAAGTATTGCAGAGCAGGAGCACTTTGAGGTTATGGGTTGTGGTTTTAGAGAGCATACCAAGTTCACTTCTCTTCCCTATTGCATTCAACGGTGCTCGTAAGCAGTTGCTGGATGCTGGCTTTGAAGGCGATAAAGTCTTTCTAGCTGGTCACGGCTTAGGAGGTAGAATCAAATTATGGCATGATGTTTTCATTTCCTTTTGATTTATATTTAATCTACAGTTTCATGATAAAGCTTTTCGAAAAGATAAGCTGACATTTCTTCAAACCAATTTTACTCAAATATATTTTATACATGATCAGAATTCAAAACTATAATCCTTCGTAAAACATTTGAATTTAAACATTGTGCATGCCTTGTCCGCTTCTCATTTCATTCATAATGACAAGATAATTACCAAATGCACATGAAATTGATTTTTATATTTAGTTTATGTACACTTAATATCTCTATATTTTCATATTTCTAGAAGTCAATTACCTAGAGAAATGTGCAAAAGAAAAATAATGTTTCCGGAGAAACTTTACTCAACACAGTTGCAACTATGAATATACTATGATCCCCGTCACTTTATAAAAGGCTCAGTACTTTCCTAGTAATGGACTTCTATCCTTTTAAAATAACAACTGGATTTGCATTAAACTTTAAAAATTATGTATTGCATACCATTTTGTAAATTCAAAGAAAATACAAAATCATGCAAAGGGTACTTAAATTCAGGCTATCTGAACGCTCTGTTATGAAAATGTAGTAACTTTCATTATTTTTTATGGTTTTTAAAGAGGACTTCATTGTTTTTTCGTTTGTGCATGTGGTTGATATGTTGTTGTAAACCATTTTATCCTGCAATTAGCCAAATAATTTAGACCTACACAAAATTATTGCTTTATTTTTACAGTGAACACAAATTTCATTTCCTAATATCCTGCTTTAGTTAGGGCGGTCATATTAGAATTACTGTAAACGTCACAGGCCAGTGGTCATTAAGGTCTGCATTCAAGCAATAACCTGTTCATGAAAAAATTAAAGACAACAATTAGTTATGTTAATGCTTTAATGTTAAATTGCAGGATAAAAATAAAAGACTTAAGTTCCAAGGTAAAAAAAATGAAATGAATGTGTACTCACTACGATGAAACAGATGAAAAGTTCAATCAAATAAAAAGGGGGAGCAAACACCAAAGGGTCAAACACAATTCGTAAGTCAAAGAGAAAACGACAATACCATGGCAAAAAACGAAAAACGACGAAAAGACCAACAACAATCTGAGCAACTCGAACCCGATAAAAAAAACGGAGGTGATATCAGGCGCTCTGTAAGGTTAAGCAGTTGTGTTCTACATGTGGCACCCGTCGTGTTGTTCGTGAAATGTACAATCCTATGATAAATCTCATTCGGTGATGTTTGGGACAATTGGAACATATCCATGGTCATCTGTGACACACATAATTAAAATCCAATAACGGTCAACCAAATCATGTTGTCGTTCGTAAAACTTACTAAATTATATATTTATCGACAATGTACGTATGTTTAGTGTGTAATTTTTTCATTGAAAGAATGAATAGATAATCAGGCTTTACGGAACCACTTAATACAGATGAGAAAGCATAAACTATTTAAAAAAAACGTCAATACGAAAAAGCTTGGTATTCGGGTTTTTGCAAATAGGTTTCGTTTAGATAACTTGTTATGTAAAAAGTAGGTTAAAAGAGAAAATAAGTGAAAATACGTCATTTCCAGGAATTTGACCTCTCATAAAAATAAGTGTCTTAGACACGTATAAAATTGTAAGCTATTGAATTTCATCGGTTTTATTCCAAATTAATTTTGGCATAAAGCCAAAGGTCTTATATTATCAAAAGAAATAATAACATAACATGCACAAATCAATGATAGCATATTTTTTTTATTGCATAGGTCAAAGGGCATCAACTTATGGGCATTCACCCTTACATAAGAATCGACTGGATGGAGTGCTGTTGTTTTCGTCATTCCTAAGCGGTAGTTATCGACTTAACAAATATCCATTCCCAGTTCTTACCATTAGTGGGGACTTAGATGGGATAACGAGAGTTACGAAAATAGTTGATGCATTCGAGTGAGTTTTTTTGTTTAAATAATAGTTAGGGAATATGAATTTCCTTACATATTCAGAAAACACGATTACTATGTCGTTCGGTGAAATAACTACATCTAACGTGTCATACTAGGCAAAGTTGACTTAGATGAATTTGGCTATGCGTTTAGTAGTATTAACCATATGTGGATTCTAAAAAACTCTTAAGAACTTCTTGATAGTATTAAATCTCGATCTTTCTCTAAAATTAGTTTTATCAAAACTTTTGATTTTTCAACCCTGTATACCACCATTCCCCATGTGAAATTTAAAAATCATCTAACATAAATAATCCACAATGCTTTTCAATATAAAAATGGTAACACACGCTATAAATTTATTACTTTGTAATACCATAGGGCATATTTTGTTAATAGTGAACAAAAGGGTAAAACATGCTATACAGAGGAACAAGTGATCAGTATACTGGAGTTTCTTATTGACAACATATTTGTTGAATTTGAATGTAGACTTTTTCAACAAATTGTCGGCATTCCTATGGGAACGAACTGAGTGCCTATTCTTGTCGACCTCTTCTTATTTTCATACGAGTCGGAGTTCCTTCAGACACTTGTCAAAAACAAAAAGATCAAAGAAGCCAGATTTTTACATCGCGATGACCGTGAGGGCATTCCGATGTATTGCTATCGCCTAGATTTCCATTACCTAACTTTCGTTTTGGGTTTGTAACCGATCTATAAACATGATAAATACGCGGATATTAACGAGTGCAAAATAACATTTCTTATCGTTTGCTATAACTACATCTCTTCAATGAATACTGATAACAATATTTTTGTTTTTGCGGGAAAATATGAATGCCTACGCATATCCAATCTTTTAGAAAAACCGAATTTTTACAGAAGAGTGTCCACCATGCACTTGCACTGCACTCTTATTAGAAAAGTAGAATAGAATGATATACAAATGGATGAAAACTATATATACATGTAACTGTTATATTAATATAATATATAACAACAAACCAGTGTATACTGATTTGTATCACTACAATATAATAGTTATTACGGTGAGATTGAATTTCCTGTCATTTATTTATTATCCACGCACGAACTTGTCTCAGAAAAAAATACATCTGTACATTAACCTAAGTTTCAGGTATAGAGATGTGATTTTTTTCTGTGACAAGTGCTTTTGACAATCCACAAGAACTTACGGTCATCCGATGTTCAGTACTTCAGTACTTTGATTTAATTTCCCATTCAGATATATTGATGATGTTCTTTCCATTAACAATCCAAACTTTTCTGATTGGGTTTCATTAATATATCCTCCAGAACATGTAAATTAAAGAAACAACAGACATGGCTTCCTCCGCCTCATTTCTAGACTTATACCTCGAATTTGACATAAGCGGTTTTCTCAGTACCAGAATCTATGTCAAACGAGACGATTTTAATTTTGAAATTATCAATTTCCCCCACCTTAGCATCAATATACCAACTTCACCTGCATATGGGATATACATATCCAAACTCATTCGTCCTTTTTCTAAAAAAGTTCATCGGAAGATACCAAGACCTTGTTGATAAATATTCCGTATCAACTTCACAAATAATACATGATGGTCTTGAAGTAAAGATTTTAGGTACTGACATTGTTTATCATCTTAATTACGTTTTATAATGTTCTTTTATTTGTCTTTGTAAATTATTATCTTTACTGTTTAGTCCATTTTTTGTAATATCCCTTTGGCGTGGCTCGGTACTTATACATCCCGTCATTGTGTTATTGTGCTATAGTCAATTTTTGTATTTTTGTCTTTCATTTTTGCTTATGTGCTTTGTCTATATGCCATTTTGTTTTTCTTTGTTGACATATTAATTGTTTGTTTTTATAGTGATTAAGGATTAAGATTATAACACATGTTGCCTGCTGTATCCCTATTTTTGACATTTTTACCTATTGTGTCTGTTTGTTTTGCTCACACATTGCTGTCAATATAATGGAATTTTATGCGACTGTCATACAAGTGAGCGGTTTAGCTAGCTATAAAACCATGTTTAATCCACCATTTCTACATAAGGAAATGACTGTACCAAGTCAGGAATATGACAGTTGTTTTCCATTCGTTTGATGTGTGTAAGCTTTTGATTTTGCCAGTTGATAAGGGACTTTCCGTTTTGAATATTCCTTGGAGTTCGGGATTTTTGTTATTTTACTTTTTAATGCATCTTGAACATTTAGCGCCTAACGTTTCTACGTATTTATACATCCCTGCCTTTCAAATGTTTAGTTTTGAGCGTTACTGAAGAAGGTAAATGCCAAGAAAAAAAAGAATAGTTTTCAATAATGATGATGTTGTCGTAAATATTAAATCCCAAGTAACTGTTGCTTTCCGTATGCTCACTTAGTGATGGTGTTAACAATACCATTTTTTAATCGCAGTAGATGTTTTTACTATCTTAAAGTATAGGTAGTGAAACCCGAAATAATCTGACATTGATAAATTCAATATATGTGGCGAGTATATAAATTCTTATGCAAACATAATAGTTCTGTAAATATGCATTTATTTTCCATATGCATATAAACCTTTTTCGAGCAGTTAATTGGAATTGTAAAAATGATATTTTTTTTAGTGTATTTGTGTGTTTTGGAATGATAAATAATAAATGATATTTATACGGAACTTATAGTTTTATAAACTCGGCTGAAAACTGATAAACGTACATATTTTTTTCCCAGTTTATGAGTGGATTGACCGAACATCAGTAAAATCGTTTAATAAAAAATAAAATCGAAATAATGTAGAAATTTAAAGAATCGTAATATTTGCTAACAAAATCTCGAACGATACAATTTAAAATTTCTTTGCCATTTCTAAACTTGTCATTGTTTGTATTGCTTTCTCTAATTACTCATTTTGCACGATTTCATCAAACATTGTACGTCTTCTTTAAAATTAAATTTTAGAGAGTTGGAAGAAGATTTAATACTAGCTCCAAATCAAAAATACACTACACCCGTAATTGTAATGGAAGGTATTAACTATGGACAATTTGCTTCTGGTAACCTTCCACCAGCGGTAACAGGTTATGACTTGAAACCAGAAGTTTCTCAAAAAGATGCATATGATTCTATAGCTAACTACACGAACGCATTTATGTTGTATGTACGGAACACCAATGTGTCAGAAGCGAAATCTGTGCTTGAAGAGGGATATTCGAACACACAGTCGATACTTCAAGTGAGTTTTTATTATCACCGCATTCACTGAATTTAATTATTGTTATTCCTAACTTTTTATACTTCAGTTCGTCCAGGTGGTTAAAAAATATTTACTTCATTCGGCAGAAATAAATAACCATGTTTTATATTTGAAAAAAGTAGATAAAACCAGAAAGTTTCGGCACGCACAAATAATTAAAATTAATATTTTGATTCCTGAATTGCATTTTGTTTTCTAAAAATAGAATCCGCTTGTCACACCACTTACCAGTTACATCGATGTAGCCTTTCTCTGACCTGTATCTTTTGATCAAATGAAGGTACAGATAAGGAAAAAAATGGCAATGTCGTGATTTCCATACTTTAATAAAGGCAACAGTAGTATACCGCTGTTCGAAAGTCATAAATCGATTGAGAGAAAACAAATCCGGGTTACAAACTAAAACCGAGGGAAACACATCAACTATAAGAGGAAAACAACGAAACAACAGAAACACTGAAGTGAACAAAAAACAAACGACATTGCAACACACACAGAAACGAACTATAAGATAACAACTGCCATTTTCCTGACTTGGTACAGGACATTTTAAGAAAAAATGGTGGGTTGAACCTGGTTTTGTGGCTAGCCAAACCTCGCGCTTTAATGGCAATGTTGAATATAACACTAAAATGACAACATTACATGACAGGAATACAGTACACATAAATGCAAGAACATTCAGGACAGAGAAATACACAAATAAACAATACAATAGAACATTTCGACATGCTAACCACAGAATAAAAACGAACACGTAAAACAACATAGAACAGCACACAAAAACAGCACAATAGATCCACGAACTGTCTTTCACACGACTTAAAATTCACAATAAAAATGTATTATCAAAATCATTCTAGTAACAAAAACTTAAGAATATAGAGCGAATAAATTTTTTTTCAAGAAAAAATCTCATGAATGTGTATTTGTTTGTTATTTCAGCCCCTTTCACAAGTGAAAGCTCTTGAAGATAATGAAGAATATGTTTCACATTGGACAAACACTGCTCAGCAACTGATAGTTAATCTTCTGAATACCTCACTAGTAGAGGTAAAAGATAACACATTGATATCATGATATACATATAATATCAATTTATAAGAAAGCATGTAGCATTTACAAACTTTAAAAGCGAAAAGTTGATGAAAATTATTACCAGTTGGACTGATAGAATTTGTTACACAGCAACAATAAAGGGAAAAAGGGGTTGGCGGGTCATACCTTGAGAAAAGTTATTATCATTTTAAGTTATTAACCATAAACAAACTTGAGTGGGTTCAATTTGATCTCGATTGACTGTATGATTATCATAGTAGAGATCATCGAACTCTAAATAGGTCTATATGTTGAAGACCGTACTGTGACCTATAATGGTTTACTTTTATAAATTTTGACTTGGATGGAGAGTTGTCTCATTGGCACTCATACCACATCTTCTTATATCTATAATAATGAAAGGCAAATAGAGAATAAAAAAAACGTTATAATACAAGTTTTAATCACTATATATACACTTGAAAATAGAAAAAAAAGACAACTTATTATTTGATGAAGCGATCCCTTTAGGAGTGTTATTACCCGCATTTTTGTTTATCTGTCGGAATGTTATCGCGTTTGGTTAGAATATTTAAATTTTTGATTTTTGTAATATTACTTTTTTGTTTCTACTATTGTTCGCTTAGTTATTTTGTTTGCTCGTTATTTATTTGCTGTTAATTTCAGTTTGATAATACCGAAGAAACACCAACACAGTCTAAATCATTTCGCTTTCACAAACCGTATCATTCAGATATGTTAAAAATTAACAGCTCGACTGAAGTATATTTTCCAAACACAGATGGTACCAAGATTCCTCAGAGTCCCCTACAACTTAAAGCAACTATGACAAGTCAAAGAGCTGTTAAGACACTCTTGCCGTCTGCACCTTTTGGCGACCCTGCTACCTGTCAAGATATTAATCAGGTATATTTATACGCTGATTGTTTATCTCATAATTATTAAACAACAACAGGAATGGTAAATGTTGATAATGATAATAATAATTATGTTGAATTAGATTGTTCATATTAGCAAGCAATCGATTCTTTCATAATGAAAAGATTTAAATAATATTTGTTCAAAATTCTTCAAATTGTCTGAAAAAGATAGATTACAATTACTTCTATCTTCATTTGATACTATGCAGCTTTCTGTTCCGTTCATTAAAAAGCCATTTGCACTGAGGAGAGTGGACATAACACCTGCATAAATATTATTACTTTTTTACTTCTGCTATATATGATTGATTGATTGTTGGTGTTTTAACGCCACTTTTAAGCGCCACATTTGGGCTATTTCGTGGCGGCCAGTTTTTATTGGTGGAGGAAGCCGGAGTGCCCGGAGAAAACCACCGACCTTCGATAGGAAAACTGACAATCCTAGTCAATTAAGATTGGAGTCGAGTGCACCTGCACGAGCGGGGTTCGAACTCACAACCTCAGTGTTGACTGGCTAGTGATTACAGTAGTAGTGCTATGTAATAATTTCTGCATTGTGTATATATTTGTATTGTATTGTTTATATGCCTTAAACCCCTCGGGGTATAAATGTGCATTTCATTAATAAATAAATAAACACAATAATATGAATGCATGCCTATTAATTACTATGTTGAGTAAAAAGGAACCTTTTCACACACAAAAACAGATAGTAAAGTATCATTAATGTTAAATTGTCAATGACATTGCAGCGCTTTACTGTTTCTTAGCATGCGTATATTACCAGCACTAGGATTAAAATTTGCTGTTTTTCGTGCTTTACCAATTTCACTACCACTTGATATTAGCGGTGTTGGCGGACTGTTATTGTGGTAACACCCGCACAAGAGCCAATCTTCAATGTGAATTTTTTAACTATGGAATGTCCATTTAGTATTAATGTTATTATGTATTTGGCTTCCATACATTACATGGCACATAAGCGTTGACCTTTGGGTGTATTTTCTGATTTTATTGTGTTGTTGTGTTGCTGTCGAATGATGTACACTAAACATCTTCGTTTATTCGTTGTGCTTATTTGTTTTTGCTTTAATATTGTAGGATGCTTTTACACTAGCCTTTTCAAAATCTTCAGCTACAGCAAAGTCTAGATACCAGTCGAAAGGAAGGCCGATAAAATTTCTTCCAGACGTCAATGTAACATCGAAGAACAGTTGGAACCAATATGGAGATTTACAACTTAACTACAACATAACTGGTCTGTTTGTTCAAGCCAAACGCTATATATCTACAAAACCATCAGGGAAAGATGACGATTGTACCTTGTTATCACCATTTAGAGCAATGGAATGGATATACGTGGATTCTTTAAAATATATGAAAGAGCAAACTTACATTAATAGTACATGACAGTGTTAAACTTTTTAAATGAATACAACATCTCTTGAAACTTCCAACTTTCAATACATGGATACATGTATTATATCTTTATTTTTCACACCTTCTTATATTTTCTGTCATTTCTTGTATTTGGTGACTGTTTACAATGTTACAAATTACGTCGCTAAAGTGTGGTTTATTTATGATCCCAAGTCAGCATCCTATAATTCAGTGAATGCTTGTCGTTGGTTCATGTCTGTCATATTTGTTTTTGTTTTAAAAAAATAATGAATTGTTATAAATCGGGTTTGAATAGTTTTAAAATATTCATGTCGGGGCCTTTTATAGTTCACTTTACGGTATTGGTTTTTTCTCCTTTTTGAAGGCCATACGGGTAACCTGTAATTGCTTACATTTATATCATTTGAACTTTGGTTAAATGGCAATCATGCCACATCTCCTTATTTGTTTATTCATGATAAGGTTCTTCCTTTGGAGGTACCCAATTGGATTTCAAATTTTTGTGTTTGAGCGCTTTTAATGAAGGTAATCTGAATTGCTCTTACGGGTGACGAAATAGGCATTTGTCTTTGGAAAAAATCCCAAACACCTTAATATAAAACAAGGTAACCAACTCGCATTTTTTAGAAATGACACACGGTCGCGAATTTCCGTTATATTTCGGTTCCACGGTTGTCCCACTGATATTTGTCATATCGTTAATCTAATGCGATGTCAACATTGTTATGACATCGCTGTGAGAAGACGAAATAATTTATGGTTGACCTATACTTGGAAGGCCTTTCGGGGCCTTTTATAGCTGACTATGCGGTTTGGGTTTTACTCATTGTTGAAGGCCGTACGGTGATCTATAGTTGCTAATTTCTGTGTCATTTAGTCTCTTGTTGAATGTTGTCTCATTGGCAATCAAACCACATCTTCTTATTTTTATATTTACTGTTTTGGATGATTCCGACAACAGAAATAGGCGTTTTATACACCATTTTTAAAATACTTTAATGTAGAATTACGATGCCGTCATCATATATCAAGTATCAGTGGGATAGACAACCCTGGAACTAAAGTTTAAGCTTGGGATACAGGAGGTTGGTAAGTGAATAAAAGTTACATATTCGTAGAGTTAAATGAACAAGGAATCGAATAATTATGATTTGTCTACATGAAAATGGATCTGTTACGTTTTCGAGACAGACACTTGACGCCCCAAGTTTGGGTCGGTAATTTCCATGTTTTCTTTATGGACTGCCCTTATGTCCCACGGCCCTAAATAAGTCATAATAAATACCGTCAGACGTCAGAGATATCCCGGACTAGATGAAGGTTAAACCAGAAAAGCGCTTCGGACGCTTCGGAAGTATAAAGCTTTCTGATCTGTTTGATCTGAGTTTTATGGAAGATTAATCCAACAAAGAAATCGTCGACTGCTTCAAAGTTAGAGCCCGAATCTAATCTTAGACCTCAAATCATAGGAACTTTTCGTTGATGTTACAATGTTGTGTTCTTATTGAAATTACAACTAGATTGAATCGAGTGAATCAACACAGCAAAAGATAAAGACATATACAATTACATGTAAAATGCATAAAAAGTTTTTCTATATGGGTGTAAACTATACTTGTCAATTCAATTGATCTTAAATTTGCTAACAAATATTTGTTATTTCAGTTATTAAAACCGTGCGTATTGCAAATGGAGGGGAGAAGATTGTTTTTTTTTTACTAACACCTGGCAGGGACAGTCACAGTTAGTATAGAAAGTCCCTGCAACTGGTGATCATATGTTTAGAAAGTATTTCAGATGTTTATCGTGTTTATTTGCAAGGACCATATATATTACACAAATGATCTTATTCTGTATATATATACACAGTGTAGATACTATTCTGTACGCTATCTGGAAGTCGCGGTTTTCGAAGCGATGATTTCCAACTGGCTAACAGGACGGTTTTGCCTATGGTGACTTTTCTCATCATTTGTTTACTCCTATATCTATAAAGTGCTTTGAACATCTTCAAGGTATGTATAGCATCATAAATATGAGTAACTGTAACAAAAACATGCATAAGAATATAAAATATACGTGTGCATCACACCAACTTGATAGAAAAAAGTGAAATCGATGGACAATTTTGCTCTCGTAGTACAAAGCAAATATCTTTTAATGCAAATATTTGCATCAGTTTACAGTTAAATATATACTGTTTCAATATTCTTTTCGTATTTAACTAGAATATTCGTATTTCCCATAAAAAAAAATATGTTTTCCTTGAGGATCCCAAAATAAATTACTGTACGATCAGTCTAGAACTGACTGTATTCTAGAAGCGATTTCAGATTTTTTGACTGTATGACCAGTCGTGATTTTGAAAAAGAAACAACGGCAATTTGAAGGTATATACGTGTCTATGTGATATTATGAACTGTCCAGGGAACTATAACGTGTAATTTCTTTCATCAGACAATACAAATATATTTCTGATGATTTTTGTAAACGACATTTGTATGGGAACATATATTTGGAATCCCTTTTCTCCTGGATTGGACCCCTCTCCATTTAAAAATGGCTGGAACCCACAATGTATATTAAGTGGTTTATGAGGAGATGCACTTACAAAACCGACGAAACATATTGTACCGGTCCAACGGAAAGACGGACTTCATTATCACTATAAACCCCCGCTTTACAAAGTGGTGTACAATTGAGTGTCAAAGAGACAGCTCTACATCCAAAACAATGTGAAGGAACTGTGATCAATTATAGGCTACAGTACGGCCTCGAATGTGTGTAAATACATGCATTTTTATATAACAATTAAATCTGTGTGTTTGTACAATTTTAAGTATAACGGAGGACATTTCTGAAACTTTTATATACAACAAACCTTCCTCTTATTTTAGCAACATTTAAACATCCTTATACTTAATGTAGTAAGTCGAGTACACCCCATCAAGCTAAAACATGTTTCATAAGTTTTCAGGATGTGAATTTATTGAAATATATTTGTGTTATTTAGAAAAATGCCACCTTCTAATGTATCGTAAATAACTTTGAAATCACCACTAGAATACAGTGAAATAAAGACTGATCATACAGTTTCAAAATATACAAGCGAGACTGATCGTACAGTGAGAAATTCAAACAAGTGTAATTTTCTTATTTCTGGCTTCAAAGATCTGATTGAAACTTTTACCACCACTTGAAATATACTTCATTTAGTTCATTACGTCTGGTTTTTACGTTAATTTGTACACTAAGAGGGTAAAAAGATTGTTTTTAGGTTCACCGACTGATTTTCCTTAGTGATGCACTTGAAAATCTCTTGATTAAGGCAAAGATACGAATAATGAATGTGCTGAATTTAATTCTAAACCATTTGAGAATATCGATGTCAGCTGAATTAATCATTAAGCAATATACAGATGATCAACTTACCGTTTAATTCAGTATATCCATCAAATTTAAAATGTGATCCAAAAAGTTCTCGCTTCGAAAATCGCGACTTCCGGATAGCGTACAGAATAGTATCTACTCTGTGATATATGTACGAATTAAAACCCGTTCTGACCAGTTGGATCAATATTGATAAACTACACGTGGATTTAATAAAATTTCTTTGTGTAATTTCCCGCCTTTCCATTCGGAAAAGTGAACTAAATATGTTCCATTATATCATTATAGAAACAGATTCTACCACTTTACACCGTTGACTGCATAATTATCTCTATAGTTATTTTTTTTTTAAATTTCTAACTTTAGTCAATTGCAAGTGAATTCATATCGTAATCGGTGTTGCGTTGTAGATATTATATATCAATGTACATGTTAACTGTTTCACTGTGTTGTCATAATCTCTTACAGTGTTTAGTCATCTCTGAAATAAGGGTACCCGATCAGTGTCTCTAATTTTTAAACATGTCACACCATGATCATAGAAGTCCTTCCTGCAAAACAAATACATAATTGTTCCAAAAGATAACATTTCTAGCAATACTATATTTATTGGTTTTAAATAAGGATGTTTTGAACTATACATATTCATGGTAAATTTTCAGTCATATAAAAAAAAAAAAATTGAGAAACATGCTAATGTAAACATTACTCCGGTTGGGTTTTTTTTTTAGCTCACCTGGCCCAAAGGTCCAAGTGATCTTTTTTAACACTTGTCGTCTGTCATCGTCGTCGGCCCGGCGTCCGTTAACTTTAACAAAATTCTTCTCTTTTGAAACTACTTGGCAAAATTTAATCAAACTTGGCTAAAATCATCATTGGGGTATCTTGTTTCAGAAATGCGTCCGATGACCCTACCTTCCAACTTAGATGGCTGACATGGCTAAAAATAGAACATAGGGTTAAAATGCAAGTTTTGTGAAAACCGCTTTAGATAGAGAAAATCTGACAGGAGCATTTAGAATGTTGAGAACTACATACTGTCAGCGTCGAAACTGTCAGACGACTTCTTATAGGAGTTATTGCCCTTAAAGGACAAATTTTACCAACTTTTAGCTCACCTGGTCGAAAGGCCACGTGAGCTTTTCTCGTCACCTGGCTGCCGTCATCCGTCGTCCATCGTCGTCGTCGTCCGTTAACTTTACAAAATATTCTGCTCTGAAACTACTAAATTTAACCAAACTTGGCCACAATCATTATGGGGTATCTAGTTTAAAAATATGTCCGATGACCCCGTCTGTCAAACAACATGGCCGACATGGCTAAAAATAGAACATAGGGGTAAAATGCAAGTTTTGTCTACTATCTTGAAACCGCTAATAATAGAGAAACATCTAAAAGGGACAGAAATGTTCAGAACGTTGAGATCTACCTGATGTCCATTTAAGTTGACTCCTTATTGGAGTTATTACCCTTTTATGACATTTATCCCTGTGTTTTGCTTTTTCGCCTATTATTTTTTAAAACTGAAATAGATAGATAGAAACTTTATATAGCAAAGATTATCATTAAGACAAGATATACAGAAAAACCACATGGCAGAAATCTTAATTCGACTCGGTATTGGAGTTATTTTCCTTTAAAGATGTCTTTTACCGTTTTTTGGAGTTGTTGCGTATTATCTTGAAAAGTGTACGATATACGAGTGTAGATAGAAACTTTTTAAAGCAAAAATGATCGGTATGACAAGATCTTCAAATATGGCAACATGACTGAAATTG